TATATAATTTGTCCTGGAAGATTTTAAAGGCATGATGAGTTATTCGTCATCTATTCTTAGCTTTAAAAACCTTAAGAGAGATTCTGTAGTAATTTTAATTTCAAGTTAGTCTACATTTCAGAACATCCACCAGGATGAATTGGAGTGGTCTGGTCCAAAGAGAAATAATGTGAAAATGACTTGTACCAGTAAGTTAAATTTTTACTTTATAATAGGAGTTCTGTCTAACCAGTAACCAGAAGCTCTGTACCTGTTATCTAAGCCACCCTCTTACTGGATATTTCCCCAAACCTATCCTGCTCCACCTAAAAACAGTCAATAAAAATGCACCTTTATAGTGATCAGGATACTCAAATGAACAGCTGTGATTTAAATGGTGGCACTTAAATATTGTCAAACTTGACATCTCATCTGGGTTCCATTCTCTTATTTCTAACTGCTTTCTAGATATCATTTATCTGTGCTTAATGCCATTTCAAATTCAGCAATTTCAAAACTGAAATCCTATTCACTCTTACCTTCCTGCTCATTCTGTCTACCCACACCTATCCAAAACCAAATCCTGTTTCCTACTCTTGTGTTCCCTAGTTTGGATACTGATATCACTATATCCACCCAGTAGTCAAGGTAAAAATTTCAGTTATTCTTTACTCACTAACCCCATGTACTTAATCAGTCACCGCATCTTATCTATTTTACCTTGACAGCATTTTTCCTTTTATCTCTTCCTCATCTGAACTACCACTGTCCACCCTTATAATCACTGATCTGGACAATTGCCATTGTTCTTTGCCTCCTTTCCAGGCTTACTTTCCCTCCTCCTTCCAAATCCATTCTCCACAAGTGATTTTTAAAACGAGGGTGTGCTTTGGAAAGAATCTTCTTGCCCCTAGAGATTCAGATTCACTAAATTGAGGATAGAGCTTGCATATCTTATTGTACAAAAAGCTTCCCAGATGATTCCCATGTACACCCCTGATTAAAACCAATATTTTATAAGCTTCTAGAGTTATCTTTTCAAAACTCAATTATAGGGCCGGCCCCGTGGCTTAGCGGTTATGTGCACGTGCTCCGCTGCTGGCGGCCCGGGTTCGGATCCCGGGCGCGCCCCGAGGCACCACTTCTCCGTCCAACGCGAGGCCGAGTCCCACGTACAGCAACTAGAAGGATGTGAACCTATGACATACAACTATCTACTGGGGCTTTGGGGGGAAAAACTGAATAAATAAAATATTTAAAAAAAAAAGAAAAAAAAAAAAAAACTCAATTATAGTTACATCATCTTTTGGCTTAAAAACTTTCAGTGCTTCCCCCACAGCCTACAGTATGAAGTCCAACCTTCTTAGCTTGTGATGGAACAGGCGTCATTCACATCCTGGCCCTAATCTACCTTTCCAGGTGCATTTTCAGCTACTCCCCTTCGAGCGCCTTTGAGTCTAGCCAAATAAGTTAGACCCAAATATGCCATGGACTCTTGGATTTATGTGCCTTTTTCCATACCATTTCTTCTATATAGGGTGCCCGTAACTTTTTTTCTAAATCTGGAAAACTCTCTCCTCAATGGTGCTTCACCCAGACTACTCTTCCCCCTCATCCCTCCAGGCAAGAGTAACTGCTCTTCATCTGTGACTCCTCAACACTTTGTGTATACTTGTGTTGCTGCTCTGATTACTTTGCATTTTGATGATTTGCTTACATATCTATCTTCATCAGTATATAGTTAGGTCATTGAGATAAAGATAGTCTTACTTATCTTTTATGAGTAGGCACTCAGTAAGAATGCCTCTTTCCCTTTGATTAAGAATTACCAAATTCTCTCTAAGTCTTCTTTTTATACCTACCTCTTCTGACTAGCAAATTACCTTCTATCTCCTCCTCAAAACAAAACAAACAAAAAAATGGCATGTCTTATTAACAAAGAAGGAATGTCTCAAATCTCTGTACCAAGTGATGGTTGGTGGCCACTTGGGTATCATGGAACTCATTAGTGTCTAAAGATACCTTGCTGAGATCTTCACCCAAGGAAGATATAGAACATCTGATGATGTGTTCAAGGTATTCAACAGGTTTTGAATGTTAAGGAAGATCAAGAAAACTGATCTGAAGAGTTGTGTCAATTCTACTGCTTTGTAAGTTTCTATAACTGGTACCATTAATGTCTACCTCACACCTGCAAGCATTTCTTTCAGCTATGTCTTACAGGAACTATGAAGACTTTTTTTTAAGCCAGAAGTCATTTTTGATATATTACATCTCCTAAGACCACATCTGAGCTGTTGGCTTTCATAGTGAATTGTTGGTCTAGCAGTAGATCCTGTAGTAAAGACTCCCTGTATGTTTTCAAGTGCCTCTTTCATCTTGGACTGCAAACACATACCTATTTCCCTAGCAAAGCATGTTAGAAGTTCAGAAAGGATATGAAATTTGGGGGCTGTTATGATTAGTTTACAGCTTACAATGTAATCATTACTGTCTGGTTTTGAATATTAGAGAAGAGGCTGTGATATGTGTGCTATAAGATAATAATTGACTGTGATGTCTACCATGAGATAGAGGTGATTATTGAAGACTTTTGTGGGGGCATCAGTCCGAACAAAATGCTACAAATCATGAAGTTTTTTCACATGTTTAAGGAATTAAAAAAATGTTTTTTTCTATTGTCATTTTTCCTCTGAGAATGTCAGAAAGGAAATTGAATGCAGTAGTATCTTCAATATTGAAATATACTAGGTAAGTGCATTAGTTCTGAAAGCAACATGAACGTGTCTTTATCTTATTTTGGAAATGGCTTGCTAATAATAATATATTAAAGAAGCAAAGCCCATTCTATTTCCAGGACCAGAATGTTTCTGATGCCCTCAAGTATGAAAAGCTATGATGCTGGATTTGTTTCTTTCATAGGAATTGTCTCCTTGTTCCATTTGAACAACTGATTTAAAAGAACTGGAGACAAAAGTATAAATTCAGAACCAAAATTAAGCTAATCTCTGTGTTTCACTTCCATTATTATTTTTTTTTTTTTAAAGATTTTATTTATTTATTTCTCCCCCAAAGCCCCAGTACATAGTTGTCTGTCATAGTTGCACATCCTTCTAGTTGCTGCATGTGGGACGCGGCCTCAGCATGGCTGGAGGAGTGGTGCCTCGGTGCGCACCCGGGATCCGAACCCGGGCCGCCGGCAGCGGAGCGCACGCACTTAACCGCTAAGCCACGGGGCCGTCACTTCCATTATTAACCTAAAACAATTGATTATAACTCAGCATAGCCACTAGCATTAATAGGCTTGAAAGTGTGGAAGCAAAATTGGATCTCTGTCTGGGAGATAGGTAGTGAGATAAATAACATGGAATTAAATTCTAGCCTAAAAAGCCATATTTCAGTTCTGAATGTCTTAGTTGGGGACTTGTCACACAAAGGGAGGAATGCATAACAATAAGCATAGGGCTGTGGCTTAAAAATCAAGAGACCTAATCTGTTCCCTGCAAATTACTTCCCATCTTTGATCCTCTCCATAAAGTGGGAAATCATTAAAAATATTTCCCTACCCAGAAATGAAATTGGTTTAAAGAAAGGAGTGTATAGGTAGATGTATAGATAGATAGATGGAAAGAGAGAGAGAGATCCATCCACCCATCCCTCCCTCGTAACTTTTCCTCTAGGTTCCTTGGCTCTGCCTGAAAATTTTCCCTTGAGCCTTTATTTGAATGTACTATGAAACCTGCAAAACACTAAAGGCTCTGGCCCCTTAATGTTCACCAAGACTTGCTAAGTATAACCTCTGCAAAAACATTTTACATAATTAGCTCAGCTCATAAAGATAAGGAGAAACCAGGAGGTAGTTCCCAAGCACTTAAATATGAGAGAGGGACTTTTCTGCTTCTGATGGACAAATTTCTCTGAAAATTGCTTCTTTCAATTTAGGAGAGGAAGTAAGAGATTTCCCAGGAGGAATATTTAGCAATAGTCATGTGGCTCCAGATGCAAGACAGAGACCCTTTGTAGCTGAACCTGGTGGGGAGGGAGAGGAGCTGAAGAATGGCTAAAAGGCAAAATCATAGATTCCTTTTGGTAAGTTTGGATTCATTCGTTCAAGACTCTTCCAAGAGGGAGAAATAGACAACCAGCAACTGAAGACAAGTTATCAAAGATGCTTGCCTTCAAATTTAAATTTGGGTTAGGTTATAAAAGAAAGCATTCTAATTAGAATACAGGTATAAAATGTAGATCCATTGTTAAGATCCTAGTAAAATGGCCGGCCCTGTGGCTTGGTGGTTAAGTGCGCGCGCTGAGATGCTGGTGGCCCGGGTTCGGATCCCGGGTG